TCTAATGTCATTTTGTCTCAGGACATCTTCAAAGAAGTGAAAAGAGATTGTGGCTAATGGGAACCTAAGAGGGGACAGTAAGACAGAAACAATCTGACCTTAAGAATGTAAGTCTGTTAGAGTTGTTTTCAAAAGAATCCCTTAAGCCCATCTTTAGCCGCAGTTTCTGGTGAAATTGAATCATACATTTAAATGGAACAAATATGTAATTGCTATTTTTTATAGTGCTGGAAAAAAATCACAGATTTGTAAAACAGAAGAAAAGGGGTCAATGAATAGAGTCCCTGCTTGAGGAAAGATAAAGCCCAGAGGCAAAGTTGTAATTTAATTATTTGGCATTCACTGATTCCTCTCCCAGGTCTTGAATGGTTCCCTCTAAAACATCAGCTATATGTTAAAACTAAAACCTCAATACTCATTAAATTACAGAAATGTTCTGAATTGTGCGTAATATTCTTTCATCTTTTCTGCCTCTAGGGGGAAGTGTGTTTTCAACAATTCTGTCCCCAGAAGGTATTTTCTTTGTGGGCTGCTGGCTTCACAGGGGTCCTTTACTGTCCCTTACTGTGACCTCAGGGCTGGCTTCACGAGGGAGAAGATGTTCTCTGTGAAAATCTGGAAGGGTTCTTACTTGAGAGGTTGCCACTGGGTTCGTGAGGGAGAAGGTCATACAGACTGTTAAAATTGGTGGAGAAAACTTCCTTATGATAGCATTTCTAACACATTTCAAAGAATGGCATGTTGGGGTTCTCTGGATCATGCTGTCTTTCCTGGTGGTGGAAGAATTAACATACAGACACCGGACATTTCAAAGAGCCAGCAAAGAAACAACTGAATATAGAAAACTGGTCACCTTATTTTAGTAACTTCAAGTTCAAAAATATAGTTTGTGGATATGGAGGAAAACATTTCTAAATCCTATATAAGAGTCAACTAGCTTTTGTAGTAATCCTGTTTAGAGCTCACATTGCCTTTCATTTGGTTAATTTTATTTTCAGCATTTCCCTGTAACTTTCTTTTGTTTTCATTCAGCAATTGTTGCCAGAAACAATGACTAAGTGAAAAGGTTAGGGATTTTTTTTTTTTCCATTTCACTGTTTTACAGACTTGAAAGGAACAATGTTTAGAAATTGACCCTAAGGGATGAGTTATTTCTATTTCTTTTCTTTTTTCCTTCTTTCTTGGCTTGATCTATATTCATGTTTATAGTGCTGCAAAAATTCTATTATACTTTATTAATAATTATCTTAGTGTGCTGTATAACCTCAAAACTTAGCTATATATAAAATAAAATTTTAATACAAAGAATGTTATTACTTAATGAAAATTAGCTTTGTCTCCAAACCTCTCTTACGTGGTATAATAGGTGGTACATGCTTATTTCTAATTCAATCCCATTTTAAAATACTCTCAGGGACGAGGATGTATTTAAGTACCTCATTTTTATTCTTTGGTCTAATTCACCATCTAGTGAGTGAGGAGTGTCAGTGTGGTGACTTCTAAAATCTTTTCCAGTGCTATGATGGGAGAACTTCACGGTATTCAAGAAATTTACATAGGCTTTTGGCTGCTTGGAAAAAATCTAATTTGATGGAAAGTAAACAAACTCATAACATTAAAATTCATATACTTCCTACTTCCTAAAATGTGCACATTTTCAATTAAAATTTTTCTTTAAAAATCCTAATTTCTATAAAATATATAAGTCCTGGGACACCTGGGTGGCTCAGTCGGTTAAGCGGCTGCCTTTGGCCCGGGTCATGATCCCAGGGTCCTGGGATAGAGTCCCACATCGGGCTCCTTGCTCAGCAGGGAGCCTGCTTCTCCCTCTCTCTCCTTCTGCTTGTGCTCTCTCTGTCAAATAAATAAAATCTTAAAAAAATATATATATAAGTCCTGGGGAGGTAAGATATAGCGTGTTGCCTATAGTTAAGACTGCATTGCAAATCTGAAAGTTGCAAAGAGATCTTAGAAGTTCTCATCACAAGAAGAAAATTTTTGTAACTATGCATGGTGATGAAAGTTATAACTAGACTTATTGTGGTGACCATTTCCCAATATATACAAATATGGAATCATTATGTAGTACACCTGAGACTAATATAATGTTACATATCAATTATACCTCAATTAAAAAAACCCCCAACTTCTGCTCACTGGAACAATTTAAGGGGTGCTTTGAGCACCAGCAAGGGCAGTAACACTGGCTTCTCTGGTTCTGCTCTCTAGTTTGGGGGCTCTTCCTTTCCACAGCTTGGTTTGTCAGTGCCCTTGGGTGACAAGCTGGAAGTTGAGAGAGCTGATCCAAAGGCCACCGAGAGGCTATGATACCCAAACATAAACGCACTGTCCTGGGGGTGACCCTCAGTGTGACTGGGGCAGAAGCGATCACGCCCGGTGCCACTGAAACCCCAGACTCTCCTATTAAGCCCACACCACCCAGTGTGCAGAATCATATCGCCATTGGCCTGTGTTCTCCAGACACAGGGCACAGAAAGCAGTAATAGGAAACCTTGGTTCCTTCACGTCTCCTGGCAACCAGTTTGGAAATCCATTAAGACCCTTGGAATTCGTGATTTAGCTCTGTCCTTCCTTCCTTCCTTCCTTCCTTCCTTCCTTCCTTCCTTCCTTCCTTCCTTCCTCCTCCCTCCCTCCCTCCCTCCCTCCCTCCTTCCCTTCCTTCTTCCCTCCCTCCCTCTTTCTTCCCAGGAGTTCAGGGAGGGTTTAATTGCTGTGAAGTGCTAAATCTCAATTTCCAGTGTGTGTGAATTACCCTCTTTGTGGAATTAAAATTTTATAAAGATGCCTCTTTTGTTATTGATTAGCAGCTCTAATTAAATAAATGAGAGTTCTTATAGGAGTAGAAAGGTCCTACTTGAAGATTCAGGGATCATAGTGCATAATCTGAAATCTAAAAGACCCAGAAGGTGACCTGTTGTCCATAATTACATTTCCGGTGCCAGAAAGAGCGTTCAGGAGGTGCTGTAACTGGCATCCAGCGCTGTTGCTTGAAGTTGCCACGTCTCCTGTAATCCCAATTTGCCTTTTCACCTTTACAAATGAGAACAATTGCTCTTTTGGGGCCTCCCTGTTGAAAGGAAGAGAAAGGAAAAGCAAGGAAAAGAAAAGAAAAAAGAAAAGAAAGAACAACCAACAGCAAACCAACGAAACGCAGCGCTTGGGAGGGTGGCATCAGCGATAACAGCCGCTGCAAGTTTCTGCCGAAAGAGGGCGTTGGTCTAAGACTAATAGGAATTCGTGGACACAGTCTAATGAAAGTCCCTTTAAAAACATTTTCAATTTATTTTAATTTGCGGCACTTAAGTATCAGAATTCCCCAGTCCAATGTAGCACGTTCGAACTGCAAATGACTTCGGTATGTTGTCACGTTCAGAGGGTCATGTTCCATTTGGACCTGCCCGGTAGCGCCGAGGACTCCCGCGAGGCCCCTCTGGCCACGGACTTCACGGCCGTTTCCATCCTTGTCTCCGCTGTTGTTGTGGCTGTGACCAGTGGCAAGTCTAGGTCTCCGACACAGGACCTTTCTCGGCAGTGCAGGACCGCGAGCATAGTGTCTCTCGCGCCCGAGAGGAGAAGCGGTTGGAACGGACGGTGCTCCTGCACCCAGGGGACCCTCGGGTGACGATATAGGGAGGTCTCTTTAGTTCCCTGGTTTGGCAAACAAAACCTTGAGGACGCCTCGGAGATGCGCTTCAAACTATTCGCCACCTCCAGAAACCGAACTCTTCGCTCGCCTTTGGGAGCAACAAGTTTCTCTTTTCCGCTTGCAGCTCGCGGGCTGAGGGTCTTTGCGTTGGGTCCCTGGAATCCTGGAAACGCCGGCGGCGACTCCAGCGCGAACCGCGCGGCCCAGAGGGAGGACGCGGGCGCGCGGCAGGGGAGAGCGGGGGAGGGAGGGGTGCAAGTACCGCCTGGGCTAGCTGGGAGTTCTAGGTCCTCGATCGAGCCGTCTGCACTGGGACCTTGGTCCCTGTTCCCGGACCTTGTGCCAGGGGACTGGGAAGGTCGGGTGCCCGCCCCGAGTTGGCGCGTCAGGAGGGAATTTGGCTGGAGTGAGAAAGAGGTGAGAGTGAGCGGGATTTACCGATTTTTGCAACGAAACTACAAATTTCTAGCACCACCCCCTTCCTCTAATCCTGTTGTTTCTTGCACAGTGTGTGTGCCTGCGCTCATTTACTTAGAAAACACATTTCCTTTTTTAAAGCCTGGAGCTGGAGAAGGCGGTGCCGCGTGCGGGGCCAGGGTAAGGCGGGGGACCCCAGAGGCGGTGCGGTGTGCTGGGGACTCCCGCCGGTGCGGACGTGGGCGACTGCGGCTTTAAGGATAAGGCCGGGGGCTGGCTGGGAGTTGTCGGGGTTAGGGACCGAGGAGGGGTGGGAAGGTAGGGGTGTGGGGAGGAGCCCTGATGTAAGAATGTTAATGAGAGGCTCCCCCAGCCCAGCCCCCACCACTCCCCACCCCCACCCACCCCACCCGCTGGAAATACAAGCCCAGCCTCGGAGCGCCTTGTGTGGTAACACGCTCCGCCGCTGCCACGCTATTTAAACGCGGGCTATGGATCCAGGAACCGGCGCGAATCAATGAGATCAAACGCGGGGGAGATGCACCGTCAATTACAAGCACTTGGACAAGTCTAACTTTTTTTTCTTTTACAAATACGCTTTCAAAAGCAATCTTAGCAACGCCCAAATAAGAAGCCACCTCTAAGCAAAATAGTATATATAAAGGGAGGGCGAATATATATATATATATTTATAAGTATATATATATAAATATATTACAGGCGTACAGGTTTACACGCGGTGAACTTTTTCTTCCTTTTCTTTCTCTCTCTTTTTTTAAACGAGTAACACTGCAAAGAAAGACTCTTCCTCTCTGTCTTTTGGCGAAGGGGGTATTCTGTTTTCTTAGAGCGCCCAAGGGGGCGCAGGGACCTCGGAGAGAAGAGTGGGGAGGAAAGAGGAAGGGTGGGTGGGGGGCAGAGGGCGAGTCGGCAGCGAGGGCAGGCTCTTTCCTGCAGCACGATGCCGTCCCTGCTGGTGCTCACTTTCTCCGCGTGCGTCTTGCTTGTCTGGGCGTTGCTGGTCGGCAGCACCCGTGGCGGTGGCGGCGGGAGCGCCAGCCTCGGCGGAGGGCGCCGGGAGAGAGAAGCGCTGCAGCCGCAGAAGATCGAGGTGCTGGTGCTGTTGCCCCAGGACGACTCGTACCTGTTCTCTCTGGCCCGGGTGCGGCCGGCCATCGAATACGCGCTGCGCAGCGTGGAGGGCAACGGGACCGAGCGGCGGCTTCTGCCACCCGGCACTCGCTTCCAGGTGGCCTATGAAGACTCGGACTGCGGCAACCGCGCACTTTTCAGCCTGGTGGACCGCGTGGCGGCGGCGCGCGGCGCCAAGCCGGATCTCATCCTGGGGCCAGTGTGCGAGTACGCAGCAGCGCCGGTGGCCCGGCTTGCGTCGCACTGGGACCTGCCTATGCTGTCGGCAGGGGCACTGGCCGCCGGCTTCCAGCACAAGGACACGGAGTACTCACACCTCACGCGCGTGGCACCCGCATACGCTAAGATGGGTGAGATGATGCTGGCCCTATTCCGCCACCACCAGTGGAGCCGCGCCGCACTGGTCTACAGCGATGACAAGCTGGAGCGGAACTGCTACTTCACCCTCGAAGGGGTCCACGAGGTCTTCCAGGAGGAGGGCTTGCACACGTCCGCCTACAATTTCGATGAGACCAAAGACTTGGACCTGGACGACATAGTGCGCTACATCCAGGCCAGTGAGCGAGGTGAGGAGGAGTGCGCCCCGGAATTCCGGCCCTAACCCAACCGCTCTCGCGGCTCTCCCTACACACCCGTCCGCTCCTCTGCGGACCCTACCACCCCCTGCTGCACCGAGGACCCTGGGAGGACGCGCACGCGGGGATTCGCCCGGGTGTGCACCGTTTGGCTGCGACAACTTTTGACCATCTCCCTTCGCGGTCGCGGGGTGAATACAGAGGTCCGAGGGGGGTGGTGGAGCCTGGGGGAGGGGCGTCTGGGCCTGCAGCTCCCGAGTGCCCAGGTCCGACAGGTGCTGTCAAATTGCTTGGGTTTTTCTTCCTCTCTCTCCCTTCGCCAGCGCCAGGCTGGTGATTGGGGGAGCACTCTCGGTGCCCTGCTGCAACCAGGGTCTGAAAGCGTCCCGCGGCCGAGAGAATTTGTTACTCAGTCCTTTACCATCGTGCGCCCCCTCCTAGTGCGGAAGCATGTTTATTCGCTCCACAACTGGCTAGCGGCTACTTGTCTAGCTTCGTTCCAAGGGTTTCCTTGGCTGCACCTTCCACAAATCCCAGCTTTCTTTTAAAGGGTCATTGTTTCGCCCTTCTCATTCGTTCCGTGACCCTTATAAACGAGCCTCTGTGGTTTCCACCAAAAATGCCTCGCTGTGTCTGGACTCGGGCGACGCTTACTACCCCACACCCCCCGCCGCGCGTCTGTTCCAAGGTCCCTAAAGCGCCCGGAGCGAGGCTTTGCGAGAGCTCGCGCTGGGGAAGCGGGCGCTTACAGCCTTCGCAGTGCGCCCCAAGTTTTCTCCCCGGGTCTGTGGGAGTTTGAATAACTACCAAACCCGACAAAGCTCAAGGCTGAGGATGGCGGCTACCGCGGCAGGGAGCAGGGAGCGGGAGGAGAAGCGGGTGGTCGAGGATACCTAATCGCAGAAGACCCCGGTGCGGCCCATTTTACTGCAGTGTAGGCTGCGTGAAGGTGGGCTGAGATCCCAGCATAGTGCATTCCCTCTTTCCTGGTGTCAGGTTTGGGGTGCAGAGTCCCCGGGGGGAGCCGGGGAACCCACCTCGGCTGCCCCCTCGGCGCGCACGCTCCTGGATTGCCAGTGGTGCAGTCGGGGCAAAGTTCCCCACGACCCCACGCGGGGAGGCCACAGGCGAGAAGGGCTGAGCCAAACACAGGGCTGGCCCACGACTCGGCACGGCCAGGCGCCTGGGCGCTGTGGCTGTGGGACACAGCGCAACCGGAAGCTAGAAGCCTCGGGAACAGGTGAGAGTGGGCAGAAGCTGCCTGGAGGATGGCGTCGTGGTCGCCCCCTTGCCCAGTTTGGCCACTCGGACTGGGGAGTGAACGCACTCTTTAGAGAGAAGAAGTGGGAGGTGTTGACAGTGTTGACAGTGGGGATGCATGGCCAAGTTTTGAGCGTTCGAACTCCAGGCCGTCTGCGCCGAATCCCTGCCAGACAAGCAGGCGGGGCGCCGGTTTTGCTGATTATGAAAAAGGGCACTTGTGTCCAACCGCTGAGGACTCGTCACGCCCGGCGGAGAAACCCACATCTACTTCTTTCCCTTCTCCCAGTCCCCAGGTTTTTGCAGAGCCCTGTAGACCTCAGATTGCCCTGTGTCCCCGGAACCTGATTCTTCAGCTCTGGTTTTCAGGGCACGAAGGGCTGGAGATGGCGGGGGGGGGGGGGGGGAGCGGAGCGGGAGGGGGTGTTATCCGGCGGGCGCGAGCCGCGGTCTGCCAACCAGTCTATGCTGCCACAGCCCTGAAGGTCTAAATGCTGGCGGTGACCGATGCACACACGGCCTGAGATCCATGGCCTCAGGGGAGCGGTCGGCCCCAGGAGGGCAGATCGCAGCCACCGGTCCCCTCAGCCTCACAATGGTGTGGCTGAGGCAAGGGGTAGGGAGGTGCCAGTGCCCTGCTAGGCCTGGGGGCTTCAGAGAGCTTGGACTACAGTCTGGTGCCTCGGATTAATTTAATTCCGGAAGCCTCATAGCTGTTCCCAGGTCTTTTTGCTGCTTCTCTTTCTCTCTCTCTTACTTTGGTTTGAATTTAGTGGTGAAAGTTTGCTGGGCTGAACTGTGTGTTTTGCAGGTGATGAGGGTATCATTCATAATCTAAAGTCTATTTCCAACAATGACTTGGCAGAAGGATAAATATTCATAAATATAAAACAAAACCGTTTCTCTACTAAGTCTTCTCTCCCACTCCCTGTTTCCCTACCCTCTGGTGAAAGTTGCTTGATCACAAAGCTCTCTCTGGGGATCTTTTACTAATCACCCTTACTTTGCCATAAGTGGTTAAAGTGTTAAATAGGGCTTCAGTTCAGAGGTTCCCTTGAGTTTGACTTCCAGAGCACCTGCCCTGGCAAAAGAGGTTGGGCTGCTGCTACTAAGCCTCATACCTCAGGCTCCTCAGCTAAAGTGGCAGTAGCTGGGGCAGCCCATGTTGGGGATGCTGGGAGGGTTAAGTGAGTGAACACGTGGAATGTGCTGAAACAGTGCCAGGCACATACCGGATGCTCTGTCAATGTGATGTTTGATTATGGTTTTCCTTATTTTATATATATGATGATAATCATCCTTACTGAGGTGAGGCCATGCCTTGGGGAGAGAACCCTGACAGGAGGAGCAGATGCTCTGGCTTTGGGGTCACCTCTCCGCTGCTGCATGGCCCTGGGCAAAGCATTTACCTCCTCTGAGCAGGGATTTCCTCCTGCTGGAACAGTGGGGTCAGATGAGAATTAGGCCTCTTCACGCGGATCTGGGGTTTGGATTTGTGCTCACTCAAATATTAAAAACATAATAACCGACCACAATTTTGTCCTCGAAAACTCCATATGAAACATCATAGAACCAGAGAGTGTCTGCCCCCCCCCATCTTTTGGTGATAACATTCTTAGCACTTTTTCTGAACTTATTTTCATCTTTAAAATCATATCGAGAATGTTTGAATTTCCTAATGGGTAAAAACTGATAATGCCACCATCTCAAATAATAATATGACTAAAATTTCACTTGGCTATGTGCTGTACTGTAAAATGAAGAACTGAGGGGAACTGATCATTCCTTTTAAGGATTTACCATCAAGGTCAATAATTAAAATTTTTTTTCCCTGTCTTTTGTCTTTAGCCAACATAGAGCATCACCGAAATACACATGCCTGAGTCTGTATCAGTAAAAACATAATGATCTTTACTTAAAACTTATTCAATTCTAGTCCATGACTGCCCTCAGTATTCTATAGTCAGCAATAAATTTATTTTTTTTTTAAAAAGACAAGTTTAAAAATAACAATTTTTTCAAGCAATAGAAGCTAGCAGTTGTTTTGTCTATGCATCTTAGGAAACGCAGAACTGGAAGGAGTATACACACACATTTTTGTATGAAGAACTGTAGTTTTAACCTCTTAGTTATTAATATGTCACTGATGTGGGCCTGCGAACAACTATAGAGACAACAGTATTTAATCAGTACAAGAGTCACTTATTTTTAGATTTAGGCTGGGGTAGATGACCAAATGGTTGATCAGCAGAATTTTCAAGCAAATAACGCATGATAAGTATTAAATAACTAACACACAGCAGGGGAAAAATGAAGCATTGGAAGCTGCAGTGTAGAAACTCTGAAAGTCTTTGGAGTGGATGGACTTTTGTGAGCAATAAAAATAAAAGTGCAATGTCTATTTTGCAAATGAAACCCATTGCTGTATAGTGTAGAAACAGCCAGAAAGAAGTCTTTTTTAAAAAAAGATTCTAATTTTATGGGAGTTAGTTATACAGTTACATAGATTAAAAAGTCAGAAGATTACCCAAGAACAAGAGTTTGCTCCCTCACACTTTCCATGTTTCACTTGCCAGAGGAAAGTACTTTCAGCTCTTGCAGTGATTTCTGTAGGTATTTGACTTCATACCTCTAAATAACATGTGACTTTGATTATTTCAGTTTGAGTGTTTCTCTCTTGCCATCCCAGGGACAGATGATAATTTAGTTCTCTTCTCCTGCGTATTAACCACATGCTCGAGCTCTCCTTGCAGACATCATTTTTTTTTTTACCTTATTTTAATTAAAAAAATTTTTTTTTAAATTTTTTATTAACATATAATGTATTATTTGTTTCAGGGGTACAGGTCTGTGATTCATCAGTCTTACACAATTCACAGCGCTCACCATAGCACATACCCTCCCCAGTGTCCATCACCAGACGCCCCATCCCTCCCACCCCCACCACACCAGCAACGCTCAGTTTGTCTCCTGAGATTAAGAGTCTCTTGTCTCCCTCTCCAGTTTTGTCTTGTTTCATTTTTCCCTCCCTTCCCCTACGATCCTCTGTCTTATTTTTCAAATTCCTCATATCAGTGAGAGCATATGATACATGTCTTTCCCTGATTGACTTATTTCGCTCAGCATAATACCCTCTAGTTCCATCCACGTCGTTGCAAATGGCAAGATTTCATTTTTTGATGGCTGCATGATATTCCATCGCACGTGCGCGTGTGCATGCGTGTATGTGTCCTTGCACACACCCTCTCAGAACGGTGGTGTAAGAATTTTTGGTTAGCTCAGCTTTCAGTGTCTCTATCATTGTCCTCTAAATGCTATCTGTAGTCGGACCATATCAGCTATTACAATGACATTTCCTGCTTTGCTCTAGTTTTCCTTGGGTTAAAAAAAAGTCTGTTTTTGCTTGTTTGCTTAGTTTCCTATGGAGTTACAACCAAATCATCCATCGACTCTATTGTAAGCCCCTGAGATGCTCCAGTTTGGTTATTTTCTAAGCAGATTGCACAGTTGTCACTTGGGATTCTTTCTTTCACACCCCCTGCAAGTCCCATTGCCCCTCTCTCTCTGACTAGATCCCTAGGTGTTCCTCTTTCTTAGTTTGTGTTCTTGTTTTGGTGGAGCACTTCCTCCAGGAGCTTTCTCAGAAGGGATGTAGGAGAGCTAAAGCTTGATACCTTTCATGACCGAAAGGTCATTTTCATGACCGAAAATGTCTTCATTCTACCCTTATACATTTTTATGGAATTCTAGGGTGGAAATAATTTTCCCTCAAGATCTGAAGGATTGTCTTACAGATTCCTATGTTGTTCCTAGGAAGCTTGAATCGATTTGGATTCTTGACCTATTGTTTGTTATCTGTTATTTTTTTCCTGAAAAACTTTAGAATTTTCTCTTTGCTCTCAAAGTTTTAACATTTTGTTATGATGTACTTTCATGCCAGTATCTTGCCTTATGCATATCAGGGTATTGGAGGGTACACCTCTTCAGTTCAGAGACTCATGTCTTTTAGTTCTGAAAAAATTTCTTAAATTATTTCTTTTATCCCCTTCATTTTCTCTGTTTGTCTTTCTAGAATTTGTATTATTTGGATGTTAAACTTACTGGATTGAAACTCTACCTTCCTTACCTCTTTTCTCCTATTTACCACCTGTCTTTTAAGAAGAAATTCCTCTCATTTAAATATTTCTTTGCTCCCCAAATTTCTATTAAGTTTTGGTTTCTAATTTCTGCTATCATATTTTCAATTTGCAGCACATGGCATATATTGCTTTGCTTCCATAAAGTAACATCTCTTTCTTTTTTAAGCTTAGAATTAAATGGAAAATGCATGCAAGAGTCAGATAAAGAATGTGAAAATATGTTCTTTTAAAAGACTTTATTTATTTGAGAGAGAGCGTGTGAGCAAGCACAAATGGGGGGAGGAGCAGAGGGAGAGGGAGAAACAGACTCCCCACTGAGCAGGGAGCCCAATTCGGGGCTTGATCCCAGGAACCTGAGATCATGACCTGAGCAGAAGGCAGACGCTTAACCAACCGAGCCACCCAGGTGCCCCCAAAATATGTTTTTATTATTATTATTATTTTTTAAAGATTTTATTTATTTATTTGACAGAGAGAGACACAGAAAGAGAGGGAACACAAGCAGGGGGAGTGGGAGAGGGAGAAGCAGGCTTCCCGCCGAGCAGGGAGCCCGATGCGGGGCTCGATCCCAGGACCCCGGGATCATGACCTGAGCCGAAGGCAGACGCTTAATGACTGAGCCAACTGGGCGCCCCATGTTTTTATTATTGATAAAACCAATCGGAAAACATGGATTTAGATTTGTTGCCACTTAGATTTGTTGCTACTTACTGTTATTTCTCCCTTAATATGTGCCCCTCTGCAAGCAGACATGCACCCAAAAGAGGAAGGAAGAAAGGATCCAGCATGCCACTTTTGTTTTCAGACTCACCTCACCAATCCAACAATTTACTCCTTTTCCTCTGGGTGGTGGTGGGGGAGGGAGGGATAAATGAAGGCACATTGAGGGATGAGGAGTCTCACCCTCTTAGAGGTTACCCCAGATGGAAACATAAGACTGGGGAAAAGATATCCCCCCTAACTCAGGTATGCCACCTGGACTGTTTCTGGTTCTCTGAATTGGCTTCTGTAGCCACCCTTTAACACTTCTCTCTGCCATTCTTAGAGTGATTGCAAAGTCACTTCCAGAAGACACTGGGAGTCAGATAGTGGAGGATGCCATGGGACATCACAAGTCTTTGGCAAAGAGAGAAATAGAGCAGAATGATGAACAGTCCATCCAGAACCTTAGAATCACACCATCATCCCTCGTTTTACAAGCTTAACAATTTGACCAAAAAGTGAGTATTTATATATTTAACTCTACTTAAATACAGCACAGATTGTCTTAATTGGCCGTCATTTAAGCCGCCCGCAGGGTCAGCTGCAGCTCTCTTGCTCCACACACTGTACTGACTCTTGGTGAATGCTGGTCACTGTATGCTTCTCCTGATTATGGCCGCACGCTTCTCACACTTGTCCATATACTCTCCAAGAGTTGTCGCCAAATCCGTTTATCCCAGTTGTATTTATTATAATAGATGTGTAATTTAATTAGTTATTATATAAACTGATGAAACATGAGTAGGAGGAGAAAGCTATTTTAGTGAAAACTATTTTAAACCTTCTGACAGATTGTATAAAGGCAAGTTGCTAAAAATAGTTGCTGGTTGAATTAGGCATGAATGAAACAGCCATACGAGATTAGGAAACATCCTACAAATCTAGAAGGATTCTGCATTCTCTCTGCTTTGCCAGTGTCTGTAAGTGCTTGCTCCAACTTCAACTGGATGATAATGTGCATTATGGGCTTCTTTTATGCAAGAAAAACAATATCCTGCCCGTGAACTTGGAAATTAGTTCTCACAAAGGAGGATTTAACTGCATGGTCAACACAAAATGGATGAGATCTAGAATAATCAAAATCTGCTCAGATAGACACACTGCTGCTCTGTGTCACTCTTGCTCAGTCCCAGCAGGTACTGACATTTAAAGAAAGAGTGTGTCTGTCAGAGGGTTTGGTCTTTGTGGTGATGGGAATAGGGAGAAGGAGATGGGCCAGAGCTGTAAAAATAGACAAAGAAGTGACAGGGGGGCAGTGTCAGGCAGAGCCCATCCAGGACTTAGGGAAGCTTATGTTCCAGCCTGAGGACACAGCCTGTTAGGTCCTGGGCTAGGTATAGCACTTCCATGGATGCTTACGGTTACCAAGCCCTGATGCCTTTGGATGCCTGAATCCTCCAACTGACCTCCTTGATTCAGATTCCATCCTCACTAACATTGAACTGCTTACACTATGGCTTCTCATTTGGCATGCCCAGGGACATGTTGATGCAAATGTGTGTGTGACCATTGGGGTCCTCATTGAAATGAAGTTATCTGCATTTGAGAGTATCTAAAAACATCTGCGTTAGATTATTGGGATTCTACTTCCAAGCAATGACTCTACTCTTCATGTGCTGATAGAATTAGATTCTATATCTGGGGGTTTAGGGCCAGACTCTGGACTATGATCAGTTGATCACAAAATGATGGGGGCTGCTGGTGGACAGTCAGCTAGAGCCTCCGGGGTCCTTCACCTAGATGCCCACTCTTGGAATCTGCACTCTTGAAACTTGTCTAGCCTCAGCCTTTTCCTTATTGGCTGCTCTGTGGGACACCGTGGCTCTTTTTATCATTTCAAGGGACTAAAATTGAATCAGAGCTGAAACAAGAGTGTGGGTCCTAATGAGTGATGAAGAGTTTCTTTCAAAGCTTCCTTGCTGAGGCATCTTGGAATTTGACTATTTATTCCAAATATATACCGGTATTTCTAGGCACAAGCAACACCTACTCCCACAGTTACAGACCTTATGGAATTTCGTATTGTTAAAACTCGTTCTCCAGAGCATGAGCCTGCACAGCGAGCCCTTCTGTAGTAAGAAATGTCAGAGTCACGATCTAACACTCTGAATTAACATGTGTAATAAACGACATATCAACAGGCGCCTAACCCTTCGTGCAGGTTGCCAAGGCAGCTTTGGCCCAGCCTGGAGTTTGTTTGATGTCTTTCAGCACCCATGCTTTTACAAAAAACAGACACATCGCAGAGGGCTGGCGTGTGTGGTGATAATGCGGGGACAGCCCCCCCCCCCGGGCCTCCCCGGGTCTCCTCTCTCCGTGTATGCAGCGAAACACAGTGGTCTGCGTCATGGGGACCAGGGGACACCGACAGTGATGGAATTAACTGGATGACAGCCAGGTACCCACTTCACGCCAGCCTGGTGTAGCTCTTACGTGGCAGGCCACAATGTTCTGGAGCTGCTTAAAGCTCCTCAAACCTGACAGTGTGGGTACAAACGGAGAGAACATGAGGAGGGTCCTGGAGTCTCGTTAACTATTTCCTATACACGTTGAGAGAGCTTGAGAGAAATGTTTCAACATTCAGGCAGCAGAAAACTTACACCGCTCCCTGCATCCTCTGATTTGCCAAACGACTGTTCTCCCTAGAGCCATTCAGTTTGCTTTCTCAGGAAAATGTATTTGCCATGCTATGCAGTACAAAAAGCTGTTGATACTCTTCACTGGCTTTTATTGGGCAAATATGATGATATCTTTGAAGTCTTTTTTAAAAAACTTGATTTTGAAATAATTTTATACTTTTGGAGAAGATGTAAGAAAGTGTAAGAAACCTCTGTACAGCCTTGACCTCGACTGTCACCAGTTGTAACATTTTGCCCCATATGCTTTCACTCCAAATCTCTCCCCACTTTTTCCCTTCCTACCACCTTCAAATACACACACACACACGTATCTTTTTAGGAACCATTTGAGAAGTAAGTAGAGCCGTCATGCTCCCTTACCCTTAAATACTTAGGTGTGTGCTCCCCAAGAACCAGGGCACTCACTTACAAAGCCACAGTATAAGTATGAAAAGCAAAAACTTTTAACACAGATGCAATACTGCTATCTAATTTACAGACTTCCCCAAATTTTTCCAGTTGTCTCAATAATGCCCTTTATAGCAAAACTTTTATTATTATTATTTTTTTAAGATGCAGGATCACACATTTTAGTTTTCTGTTCCTCGAGGTCTTTTTGGGTTAGAACATTTCCAAAGCTGGGTTTTTGGCTGCTCTCCTGATTGGATTCACGTTGCCCATTTTGACCTTTTTGGTCCTGGGTGTCGGTTCATGCGTGTGCTCCCATGGTTGGTGATGGGGGCTTCCATCACCTGGTTATGCAGGCGTCCGCTCGCTTTCTCCACTGTCAAGCTCCTCTTCTTTCCCTCTGTAATTAGTAAGTCATGAGTGAGGTGGTGCTTTAGGGTTATATTAGTCCCTGGTTCCTTGTCACACGCCCCCACCCCTGGTTTCTGTGTTCTCACTGGCCTGTGGGAAAGGGCGTTTCACACATGTTGTTTGTTCCTCCCTCCCCAGTGGTGATCATGTGTGCGAGCAGCGACACCATCCGGGGCATCATGCTGGCAGCGCACAAGCATGGGATGACCAGTGGAGACTACGCCTTCTTCAACATCGAGCTCTTCAACAGTTCTTCCTACGGTAACTGTGCTTCCAGTTTCCCCTCTCTCTAAGCTGTCCAAAGAGGTCCTGAGAAAACCAGTAATTTGAATTACCTCAATAGACTTGGTTCCATAAAAAGGAACTTAGAAATTTGTGATACTGAACACTCCCAGGACTTCTCATAAGGTCTCAAGCTTTTCTTCTCTGAGAACTCAGAGCAAGAAGATACCTCCTACTTGGGGTGGTCACGGATTGTCTGAGAGTGAGCATCTCTCCCTCCAGCACTCTGGGTGGTCATAAATCCAGGCCCTAACGACCCCTCTCAAATGTGTTTCCCACTGCAGGTTACCACCGTGATGGACGGTTGGAATATTTTAATGAGATTTGGGCATGATTTTTAATAGAATAGACTAGACTGTATTGATGTAATAGAACATGTCAAAGTGTGTCACACATGCAAGTGTATTATTTCACAAAACTTTTATTTTGGTAATATAATTGTATGTGTCTATATATCTAAGCAGGTTACACATAGGGGTTTGTAATGGGCTGCAGTGTGAAAATAAAATAACCATTAGTATAAATTGAGGTAAAAGCATTTTTTAAAGCTACTGCTCCCAGCCCCACTTCCTTCCAGATTACTGCCCGTTCAGCCTCCCCTATATAGAAGTTTGAGATCCACCAACACATATGATTGAAAGCATATGATTCCTTAAGATGGATCTGGGGAAGTTCCCAGTGTTCCTGGGATGGAGGGTGTTTAAAAAGGTCACAGGTACAAAACATTTCCTCCATATGTGATTAGGGCTCTCTCTGAAGGAGACAGCGTAGGACAATGGAACATTTTCTCAAATACTGCACATTGCCTGCTCAAAACTGAGCAATTATAGGGAATCATAAGTGTTACTTGTCACAAATGGCTTGTTTATGCTGAGCTCTACTTCCCTGTTCTTGCTGTTGAGAGACAGTTAGACAGGATCTAAACCTTAAAGCATACACCTCACTTTCCTGCTTTGATGCCCTGGCTTAGTCAATCAACTCAAAGAGTAGAGCATTGCACATAAACAGATAATAAAACACAATTCTCACAGGGCTAAACAAAAGTTGATGAAACAAAAGTAGCTCCTGCTTCCTGTAGTGGATAAGATTAGAGATTTGAGGCTTGCAGGATGAACACCCCTTTTTCCTTCTTGCTGCCATGGATGTCTTTCCCCTTCTCTTTGCATAGGCAAAGTGTTGGTTTCACTTTTTGACCCCAGATCAGAATGTAATTATACTATTGAGTTCACTGAGATAGTGGTGGAGACTGGTCAAAATGAAAAACATTTATTCTGAGTTTTGCAAGCTGGTAATGCAAACATAGTGTGTATTTGGAAAAAATGCATGTGAGTTGCACATTATAAATGGGCCAGTGCAGTGCAAATATTAGGTAGTGGAATTCCTTGCATTCACAGATAAAGCTTGTATTACCTTTCTTTGCTAATTACAATACACGAGTATTATAGAAAAATTGAGAAATAGAAAGTTACAGGGAAGAAAATAAGTTACTATAATTCTGCCACCTAGCTAAAAAGTATATTGATAATATTTAGAAGTATGGGCATCTTCCTTATTTTATAAAAAAATTTACAAAAATATTTTTCAATAAAGTGGTGATACTATTTCAAGTGTGGCTACATAGTATTTTATAATGTTGATATGCCATCTTTACCTAAGCAATCTGTCATTTTTCAATATTTATGTTGTTCTCAGCTTTTTACTATTAAGAACAATGCTATGCTGAGTAGCCTTGTATGTGCATGCACACACGCACATACCCTTACTTATACATACATGTTACATGTGAGATAAATTTCTTGAAGTAGAATTTATGGGTTGAAAGTTTTAAGTTCTGATAGATCTTGCCAAGTTGACCCCTAAAGAGGTTTACCACTTTATGCTTTTGCAACAAGCTATGAGATTGTCTGTTTTCCTGCATCCTTACATCATCTAACTTTTCAATTATTTTATTTATTTGAATTTCTTCTTATGTCCATAAGCAACATTTTGCAGTTTCTTCATTTATATTCTGTACCATTCTTGTTGAGTTCATTCTTAGATATTATGTTTTCTGGTTGTTATTATGATCATGTTCTTTTCCCATTACATTTTATAACCGTAGTTGTTATATAGAAAAGCTATGAGATTCTGTTTATTTATTTTGCAAGAATTCCACATATTAAATCCTCTGTTTTGATAGTTTTTTATATTATTTTCATATAGCAACAAGTGTTTTTCTCCATTTTGACAGTTGATCATTTTTTTTTCTTTTTTTTATTGCATTGGCAAGAACCTCCAGAATTATATTATATAACAAATGGTGATACTTTAATTTCTGACTTCTTGAATTGAAGTAGATGTTAAAGTCTCCTTTTATTTCTAGTTTATTAAGTGTGGTTTTAAAAATTAGAAATGAGTAGGGAATGTTATCAAGTACGTTTGACCTATTCTTTTATTCTTTAATAAATAGGAGATTGAGCCATTGTAGTATTCTTGGAATTAAGTATACTTTGTCATGATGACTTTTTTAGGTGTATTGCTGATTTTAACTTTTTAGTATCTTATTTAGGACTTTTGAGTCTATATTCATGAGTGAGATTGGACAGTAGTTTTCTTGCCTTGAGGTGGTATTGGCAGATTTTAATGTCAGGTTTATATTAGGTTTATAAAATTAATTGGGACACTTTCCATTGTTTTTGTGCTCTAGAACAGTTTATATACCATAAGAATATTCCTTGAAAGATGGAAACAATTCAACTCTGTATCTGGACCTAACTTCTTTTTAGAGGTAATTTTTGAAAAACTTAAAAAAATTTAATTTGAAATAATTTTAGACTTACAGAAAACTTGCAAAAATAATATAGAGAGTTCATGTATACTTTTTACCCAGATTCCTCTAATGTTAACAATTTAAATAACCACAGTACAATTATCAAAATAAGAATATTAACACTGGTACCATACTACTAACTAAACTGTAAGCCTTATTTGAAATTTACTACCTTTCCTCCTAATGATCTTTTTCTGTTCCAGGATCCAATCCATATAGTTGTTGTATTTTCTTAATCTTTGCCAATCTGTGTTATTTCCTCAATCTTTCTTTGTCATTCATGATCTGACAGTTTTGATGAGCCTGTTATTTCATAGAATGTCTCCCAGTTTGGATTTATCTGTTGTTTTCATGGGGTAAGATTGAGTTTATACTTATTTGGCAAGAATACCACAAAAGCGATATTGTGTCCTTTACACTGCATGATATCCCTGTGTAAGAAGTCATAGCCATATGACTTAGTATTGGTGATCTGGGGATAACTTTTTTTTTAAGTTGTATTTCTAAAGTATTTTTCCATGAGTTCAGTTTTTCTGCTTCTTGAAAATTAAATTACATAGAGTTATACAGTGTGCTCTATACAACTTGCAAAGTATCCTTGGTGTTTCTGATTAGGCCTTTCTTTTCCCACCTTTTATAGCATGGGTGCTCAGGCTTTGGGCTCTGCTCTCAGTCTGCCTGAGCGGCTGTGCTTGATGTAACCCTGCCCTCCCCCGTGGGCCTTAGTTTCTTTTAATGATAATAATAGTACTTACCTCCTGGCATCAAGCTGAGTAATAAATGAGGTAATGTGTGTGAGATACATAGCAAACTTCTTGAAACATAAAGAGTGTTTAATAAATGTTAGCTATATTATTAGTCTTAGTTTACTCTGATGATTATATATAGTTCTTAAAAATGGTAAGTTTATACATTTTTCTTGGTGTAGTTATTTTTTTAAGATTTTATTTATTTATTTGAGAGAGAGAGAGAGCAAGAGATCATGAGCGGGGAGGAGGGGAAGAGGGAGAGGCAGAAGCGGGCACCCTGCTCAGCAGGGAGCCCCACATGGGGCTTGAACTCAGGACCCGGAGTTCATGACCTGAAAGAAAGGCAGACGCTTAGCCCATTGAGCCACCCAAGCACCCCTCTTGGTATAGTTTTATAGATAAGTTTAGGCCATACATTCTGTTAACAAATGAACCAAGAATGGATGTAGGTGCATTAGAAATTACATCTGCATGCAAATAACCAAGACTCCCACCTATATTTATTTACGCAAATGTAGAGGTTTTTCCTCTCACCTGTAAGAAGTCCAGAGGTGGGCAGTCCAGAGTAGAGATGGTGGTGCCATAATATCATCAGGCTTCCAAGCTGCTTCTGTTTCTCAGCTCCCTTAATCTTAGTGAACAGCATCCATCCTTAAGATCACAAGATGGTGGCTAGGACTTCAGGGACTCCCGGTGTCTTCATTTTAAGGCAAGATGAACGGGGAAAGATGAAAGGCAAAAAAGACACTATCTCAGTTGACTCAATTCTGTTTGAAGATCTGTCTGTCTGGAAGCCCCTCTGATCAACTTCTACTTATATATCATTTGCTACCCCTAGTTGTGAAGGATGCCAGAAGATGTGTGCTTTCAGCTAGATTCTCTGTTGCCCCAAATCAATTTAGGAAACTGTTACTAAGGAAGAAGGAGGAATGGATGTAGGGAAGCAAATGTCTATGCTTGCCACAGACCCCGAAGCCCTTTTCCTCCTCAGAATAGAAGCAGTAGACAGAATCTTATTGCAGGCAGAGAGACCTAGTAAAGGGTCTTCTTTGAGGTTTTTTAAAAATATTTATTGATTTATTTGAGAGAGAGAGTGAGCAAGCATGCACATGTGTGAGTGTGCATGAGTTGGGGGAGGGGCAGAGGGAAAGAATCTTCAGGCAGACTCCCCCCTGAGCGTGGAGCCCCACGTGGGGCTTGATCCTGTCGCCCATGAGATCATGACTTCAGCTGGAACCGGGAGTCAGAAGCTCAACTGGCTGAGCTACCCAGGCGCCCCACTGTGCCTTAAGAATCAAATGTACGCTCACGAAACATTCTTCAACATTGTTTCCTCCCTGTGCTTCCTCACAGCAAACTCTACACCAGTTCCAGAAGAAGGCTCTGTTTTAATTAATACTCACTTGCTATTGGATTTTTTT